TTTTTTAAAAAAAAATTGTCGGCTTGTCACTTTTCTCAGCACCTAGCCCATACGATATATGGTGTGTTTTAATCCGGTGGTGCTCACTTCATCACCGACAGGTTTATTTTACCGACGATTAATTCACTGAAAAGTTTATTTCACCGACACTCATTTCACAAACTTGGCCATTGTCGTTAGGGTCAGACTTAGAATTAGAATTAAGGTTAGTGTCATTTATAAAAAAAAAAATTTGTCGATAAAATAACTGTCGGTAAAATGACACGGATCCGTTTTACATTATTTAGGATCGGTAAAAGAATTATCGGTAAAAGAATTGTCGGCGAAATTGGAGATGGAGATTGTTAGTATGCATTATTATATTTATTACGTATCACATAATAAAAAAACTAAGAATGGTCGACATAGGCAAATTAGTTGTCAGAAACTTAATATGATCGTTGGTAAAATAAACATTTTGGTCATAAAATTAGGGGAAATGATTGTCAGTGAAATGAACCGAATCCGATTCGGATCTACATAGAATCCTATCGCTATCTGTCTTATGTTTGAATAAAACTACCAATACAGAAAGATCCCCAAAGTTCTAGATCGGAATTCATCAGAACCGTGGTCAACTGGGCCGGGAGTTGCTAATAAAGTCATAACTGTTTCATTAAAAAAAAACTGATAATTTTGCTAGGGATATACCTTATGCCTAACCTAGAATTTTGGTAATTGAATAATAAGTACTGTAAAGATGCGTTTAATGACATTTTGAGAATCATTTATTTGCATCAGTAATACAACCAAAGAAGTGAGTCCTTAAGGCGGGTATATCATTTATTTCATATATTAGGGTTAGAACTATAGATGCTGGTGAAATATGGTGAAATGTGGTGAAATAATTTCACCACTATTGGTGTAATTGATGGTGAATTGGTGAAAATGGTGAAATTAATTTCACCAGCATCTAAAGTTAGAACTCACCATTTGGTTAGAGTTAGATATATTTAAATGGTTAAAATTACCTCGCCGATATTTTTGTTAATCTTCTAGATGGGTTCTGACCAGTGTTGGAAATTCAAAAAAAAAAAAATTAATGATTTTTGTGAATATAATTTTTTTTTATTATGTTCACATAAAAATAAATATGTTCACAAATATGATTTATAATAATTAATATATAAAATTAAAACTCTTAAAATTACAAGTATTTTATTAATATTAGTTATGCTATGTATCTGATAAGGGCCAGCAGCACTCTATTACACTTGTATTAGCATAAATACGATCTTTATATTAATAAATTATAAATAAGAAATTATAAAACTTAAAATTTATATTCACACTATGTGAACATAAAATATAAAATTTTTGATTTCTTATGTTCACATTGTGAACATAAAATATAAAAATTTTGATTTTTTTTCAAATATTTATGTTCATTGTGAACATAAAATATAAAATTTTGATTTTTTTCAAATATTTATGTTCACTGTGAACATAAAATATAAAAATTTTGATTTTTTTCAAATATTTATGTTCACTGTGAACATATGATTTCCGACACTGGTTCTAACTGTCGTTTTTCATATTTTCGTTTATCTTTTTTTACTTGTTTTATTCCGTCAGGTCATTTTCACGAATTGATCTCCCCCGCCTTAAAGACCTTCCAAAAAAGGAATTATAACGAAAAACATGTGAAATTAGAGATTCAGGTTAGCGTGGTAATTAGGTAAGTGATAAAGAATAAAGAAAAGGCAGCTCTTACATGTATGTAAAATTGATATTCCCGGCTTTTAATTAATACCTCAGAGTTGATTTAGACATTTTTTCTATTTTCGCATTTTTCTTTTTTGTTTGAATATGTCGATCTTCTATATAACAAGCGCAAATAAGTATACCGAAGATGGCGATGTAATCTCCGAAGAGTTGGATGGCTCTTGAGCGAAACTAAAGAAACCCGTGAAATCTTCTGTATGTTTCAGAATTTATGAGAACAGTCGGTTTCCAGGTCGAAGACAGCGATATAGTTTTTGAAGAGCTTGTGACGATCTGAAGAGATTTCGAGAGATAAAAGGTTTTTTTAGTTTGACCAATATCGCCATTTTTCTGTGCATTACCTATATTTAATATAGATATTGTGGTATATCAGCAATTTTCAGATCGGAACTGGGTCACTTATTCTGCAAGAAATAATTTTTTCTTCACAAAATAGCATTAACCTTAAACTTTATGTTGTTCAATGATGAGTTCTGTATAATCCAGCTTAAAATTAAATAATATGTTTCTGCATCAAAAGATAATAACACCTGCTGTCCAAATTTAGCAAATTCTTAATTTTGATTGGTTGTTCTTATTGTCTGATTAAATTAATTTTTATTTGTAAATATATAATCCTTCGAGCTTTTAACCAATAATGATAAAAATGATATCAATACATTAAAGGATATAAATTATACAATGAATTATTACAATATTAAATTATTTTCTCTTATTAAGATTATTTTGTACTCTACTGGCAAACCAAGAAATAAGATAAGGAAATGGGCCTTCCATTATTTTAGCGATTCTACCGATATTTTCAAACGTTACTTCCTTGTCTCCATTTAATGTTGCTTCATATATAATTTGTGCACATTTTTCAGGAGTGATTGCGTTGGAAACATCTAGTTCACGAGGCGTTTTTCCAAGACGTGTATTGTTTATTTGGGTTCTAACGGGACCCTATAATAAATGGAAGCGTCATAGTACTATTGGGAAGCCAATCAGAATAATATAATAATTTAAAACTTACTGGGTAGGCTACAGTAACATAAATATCATTTTCGGCAATTTCAGCGGCCAAGGCAGTGAAAAACCCTCTAACAGCGAATTTAGAACCAGAATAACCAGTTCTGAATGGCGCACCCGCAAGCCCAGCAGCCGAAGAAACGACAACGATCCTTGATTTTGGAGAACGCTTCAATAAAGGCAATGCTTGATATACAAAGTTTGTGGACCCAAAATAATTAACTTCCATAATTTTTCTGATTAGATTATAGTCGCTAACTTCGTCTAATCTTTCACCCATAGAAATTCCAGCGTTGAGGATTAAACAATCTATCCGATTAAATTCTTTTTCAATCTTTTGTATTAAAGTCGTGATATCTGATTCTTTGGTAACATCAGCTGTAACAGCAATGACATCTTTAGCACCATAGAGTTTACATTTTTTGCTAACCTCTGCAAGTAAAGCTTCTCTTCGAGCACAAAGAACTAATATACAACTATGACGAGCGAACTGGTAAGCTAAAGATTCACCAATTCCACTTGATGCACCCGTAATTATAACTAGTTTTCCTTCTGGGCTCCATTGTAGAGCAGATTGGCAATGGACAAATTTCAGATAAAGATTGATGATATATAGTATTGGGAATCCCAGGATGAAACATAAAAACACTATTGATTCATTGATACAGACTAAGCTTAAGAAGCCCAATATTATTGAAACAACAATCATTGTATTGCAATGCCGATGTTAAATTAATGTTTGAATGGTGTCTGTTTTTTTATATACAAAAAAAGAGGAAAAAAAGGAAACAAAAGAAAGGACAAACTTATTGAGGTTCCCCTTATATATATATAATAATTAAGATAGAGTCGATCGCTTAGAAACTAGTTAATTACAAATTTGCAAGATAAATTTGATAGTAATTATACAGTATCTACCGATCTACGGAGATACTCCATTTATTTATCTCAAAATGACTTAGGGTGAAAGGTTCACTATGAAATTCCGACACCTGGTGGATATGCTATATAGAATGCCGGCACCGATTTCTGAATATGGTACCGACCATTTTTGTAGCATAAATTATTGGAAGTGTTACACATTTCTGATGTTCAAAGCTTTGGCATGTCTACATAAGTATGTCCAAGCATGTCAAAAATTCTTAAATCTTAAATAAAAATATATGATTATCTATTTTGTTTTTTTTTTTATTTTAAACGTGGTCTTGAACATGTAATAAGGCTACACTCTTATTGGTACATCAGCAAACCCGAATGGGACAATTTAACACCTAATTTAGGATTTGGATTAGGATTATTTAATCCCAAATCATATTGAAACCACAATTATTATTATTATTATTAATTATTAGTGATAAAGCGATTATATGTGTAACTACATTCTGCGGCCCTGGTCAATTATCAATTCGACCGATGATCATAAATTTCTAATTCAAATACTTAATTTATGAGAATAGTAATTAATAGCTATTAATTTTGAATTTAATTTCGGTTAGTCCAAAGAAGGTTCGATATAGTGTCACCTAAATTTATATTTTTAGCATATATATAATAACTATCTCCAGCTGAATCAAGAACACAATTTTACAATAATGGATATTGTATTATATGACACCTGCCTTATCGGATCCCCAAATATAGTAAAACTTTTAGGATAACTACCAATAAAAAAAAAAAAAAAACTACGAACTCGTGATGATCTACACTAACTTTCATTGGTCAATGAATTGGGTCCGGATACTCAACCGGGTATCTGATGTTATCTGGTCTAAACTCACGTCCATCCAGATACTAGTAATTGGACTGGAGCGGAGGTGAGTGGATGACCTTTCCATACACTTTCAAATTCAGGCGATATCCAGCGCTCGTCCCTATAATGATGATAATCTTGATTTGGTATAGTGTTTCAACCTCATAGGACGACATTCGTATGATTGTTAGATCTACCCGTGATTTCCCGTGATAATTAACCAATCAAATCAATCAAAAAAATTAATTTCGCAAGTAAATTTTTA